TTTCAACAAAAAGAATACCGCGTCAAGAACTTAATCATTACTTTTGAAATACGGTGTCATGATGTTATGTCAATAGAGATATTATGCATTTTAATTTGAAAACAGACATCTCATTAACTTCCAAACTTAAACGTGTAAAATATCTCTTTCACTTTTAATGAGGGTAAAGAACAGGGCATTACATTAAATTAAAGAATGTGTATAATTTCAGTTTTTGAAAACAAATTACATATTGATATACAAAATAATCTATTGACATATCTTGAATGTCTATTCATCATGCCACTATCGAAATTTGAACTTGTAACAAAAGGTTAACAATGATTTAGTTGAAAATAAAAAATGAATTGTAGAGATGTTTATTTGTAATTTCATTGAGAAAAATATTTGCTCAAATTATTTTTTTAGGAAAGTAGGGAACAGTCGTTGACATGCGTTCGCGGGCATACATCTACTCTAACGCAGGAACACTGGACGGAATCACAACATTTCCATAGCACTTGCATACAATGATAAACAATAAGGTTAACAATGAGTTTCAAACCAACTGTATTGTTTAATTATGCAAGATCAAAGACATCTGTTCAAACAAAGGCCGAATGTAAAATAATCCTAAGATCAAATTAACTTTTATCATTGAAAAATGATTTTGGAAAATATATGTAAAAAATTTTCAAATATTTTTGAATAAGAGTTCACATGAAATTGGTATTTCGATATCGCTTGACCATCAAATAAAAATATAACAAATGTCTCATTATTTTCGTTACACTGTATCAAGCATATGATAAAACAGACGAAATATATATGATCTTTATACATCCCTTTGCAATTATATAGTTGTAAGAAATTTAATACAAATGAAGAAATAGAAAACATCTGCTGTCATGTCATACATAAATTATTTATCTGCGGACTGATCATATAGATGATGCGTTTGTTATATTTACTCTTTTAATTTCATTTCCCGATTTGTTTATAGGTTCCTTTATGATTAAACTTTCTACTATTGAAAAGAACGTCACGTCTCGTTTGAGCGTTGGCGCCAGATAGATATTTCAAGTCCGTTTCATGACCTTTGAACCTTAAATTGCAATGGGGACACTGTAAAAATATAAAAGGAATAAACTTGAGAAAACCGACAATTAAAAAGAATTTTTGTATATGGTTGGTCAATTAGAAAAATATCAATTTTTTGGTTAATGGACAAACTTTTCACTTTCTTTGCTTCATAAAATATCTTTTCAGTTAAGAAGAGAAATACATGTACAATATCAGTAAACATTGACCGATATTATCATATTTATTTATATAGCTGTGCATATTTTTTTTTATTTTTACAGTGTTCCCATTTCTAAAAATAAAAAAACGTGTCCGATTTTACTTATTTACATACAGAGAGCGGTCCGGTTGATTAGAGGTACCAAGGGGTTTCCTTATTGTTTATACCCGGTATGTAACTGAATTCTTTTGATTTGACAATTATAATTGAAACGATTTATCTAAAAATAACATTTAACCTTTAAAAAAAAACTGAAGGCCGCTTTAACTTTTAATCGGTTAATGCGTATAATTTTAGTTAAATGAAATAAGATTGTTAACACTACAAGACAAGGTTTTTTTAACGTATTATGTTTTTGTATTATAGAGTAGTTACTTTATAGTATAGTTTTAACAGTATATTCGTCAGTTATAATTGATGTACAGAATTAGACCTTCTTTCTGATATTTATATCTTATCTACAAAACAATCAGTCAATAGATTGTTTTTGTATTTGCCTAAAGATTAGCGTGTGTATCAATTATCTTGTTGATTTTATCAAAGAATCGATGCCGCCATTCATAAATCATTTCAATTAAACGAAGGTTAAGATTGTTATCTATAAGACTTCTTTATCCCTCGGAAACGGGAACTGTACATATACATGTTTATATGTTGCAAGTTCGGAAAAGATCTTAGTAAGGTCATGTTATTAAGCCTTTGAAGAAAAAAAAGGAAAAAAGCATTTAATTACAATTGTTACATTAAATAAGTAGTTATTATGACTGACTTTGAAATATTTGCTACACTTAATAAACAAAAACAATGGATTAAAAATTGTCTTAATTTGCCAAAACCTTTCTTTGATACTGATCAATTGTAGTTTATTTTCGATATAAATTGACGACAAATGTTTTCTATTGGTTTTAGGCACCTCAACAAAGTCGAGTTTCAAGTATGACTTGAAGATGAACACTTTAGGTGCATTTCTAAAATTAAAACATTTTTATAGAGTGTGTTATATCCAAATTGATATTATATCATTTTCAGTTTCCTTATTTCTAATCTATATATCAATATATCATTGTTAACGACATCTATGGATGATAAATTGTCATTTTTTGCACGAGAGTGTGAAAGTTCAAACACTTCTCATTGAATACATTTATCCTGATTCAGAATTGAGTTTGGTTAGAAACTAATTTTGCATTATAAATTAGTTAGGTCTGTTCAGGAAAATTCCTACGTCGCTTTAAAAAAGTGAATTTATATAGAAGATAAGTGTGAAAATGAAATAGATGAAATAGAAATAAAAAGCAAAGGTGTCACATACATGAAATGTTAATAAAACTTTAAAGTGACATTATTCCCATCAAAGAGTAAAGGCTGAGTACACAGGTTAACGACAAAATAACATAACATTTTGTCATAATTGTGTCTAATTTTATATATTACTGTGCAAACATGGTCAAGTATCCACTTGAACCAATGACATTTCCATCAATATTGTTTGGAATGTATCGGTAATGGTCATTTTTTAAAAACAGTGGGGCAGAGCAGTCTTCGTATAGTTTGGTCATTTCATCCTAAACTTGTTTCGTTATCAATTGTCGGTCAATACCCATTAAAATAGTCAATATGTTGAAAAATATAACTATTTCAACTCAACTTGACAGCGAAAAATGAGCATAATGTCACTTCAAGTATGCAATTCATCAAATTTAAGACTTGGTCTAAAGATTATTTACTGCACATGTTAAGTTCAATTACGTTAACGTAAAGCTGGCACTGTAAAATATAAATACAGCGGAAGAAAGTGCCTTTTAAACTACATGCAGTAATAAACTGTTTCTACATTTGTGTCTAAAAACATCACAGTTAAAAATGAAATAATACAGTCCCCTTTTCGATATGGCCTTATACCGTTTACGCTAATATTTTTGATTTTGATAACAAATTGATTATTCAACGTAATTGTTTTTTATGTTTTATGACAAAATCGTAGATAGCATTTTAATGTGTAGTAAATCATTGTTTAAATTCTTTGAGACGTTGCCATTTGTACACAAGTAGTACGCTCGTATATATATATATATATACAATATAGGCAGTGTATCATATCGCATTGTTAATCTACTATCGTGCTACTTGTAACATACTTTGTTTTGATGTTTACATTTATAACTGACTTATGTACTGATTATCGTTTCAATCTAATTACTAATTAAGAAATAAAGGGAATTTAATGAATGGATTTTATGATTGTTTCATATTGATTTAGTTATATACTTTGCCTGTTCCATTTGTTTTCATCAACCATTCGGGGATTAGTATCTGATATAGTATTGCAGAGAGATAATGTTTTTCATAATTATGAGTGAATTGTAAGGTGAATATTATGTGTAATAACACGTGCAATAAATCTAACATGTGGATTTCTGGAGAAAAAATCAAGGTATGATGGTTTATAAATTTTAATTGGATGTATTACGTATGTAATTGAATTTTAAATTCAAACCTGTAATTTTACATGTACTTCATTATTAGTAAAATATTTAAAAATATGAATAAAAATATTTATCAAGAGTTGATATATCTATATACTTTACAACTGCCAAATTTGAAACTTCATTCAATATAATTTTGCTAAGAAATATATAAAATAATTGTATATAACGTGTATTTTTTGCATAAAATATTTCACAAAATATTTCACAAAAGTAAACGTTATCAGTATGCAGTTACGAAATGTATCAAATGAACACAACTCGCTTTAAAGTTGCAGTTATAAAAAATATCAAAAGATAAATCTAGACAGTATAATTGCAGTTGTCACTTATAAATATAAAAGAAAGCGCACAGCTCATTATAAAACATGTTGCCATAGTAACAGAAAATCTAATTTTATAACAGCTGCTGGGCAAATGCAATGAAAATATTTAGTTTTCAATATTTTTCAAAAGCATGTGCAATGTTAAGCCACAGGAGATAAATTTTAGCATTTAATAAATGCACACCAGGAGTGCATTACTAAATGGCAAACAAAACTTTCATCACATACTTGAACATTAAAAAGTATACTTTCAGTCGATTAATGTTTGTTATAACTTCAAAATATGTCAAAGACGATATGCAATGTTTTTGTTCAAATTGCATTAGAAATGGATACAATAATAAAATAAACGCTAAAGATAAATACGAAAGCAGACACTTGTCTTAATTTATTAAACAACCTTAAATTGATCGTTATCAAGGCTATTTAGTTCATTTTAAGATCTAAGCGTCTATAAGACGTTGATATAACCCTCGCAGAGTTGTCTCTTTTTTCTATAATTTTGTGTCTATGTAATAGTATTTCGTCAGAAAACGCAATGGTATTCAAGTACTGCTTATTACTGCTTATTGATTCTTATGTAGCAAAATGATATTTAACTGGCTTGGAACATATCTATGAATATTGCATTTGTAACTTTTCTCATATGCAAACTATGACTGATTATATGTTTTTATAAGTACATTAAAATGATATATAGTAACCGCTTTAGAAAAATATTTAAATGTTTAACAATCTTTAGCCAATATTTTTAAAGATAAATTCACCTTTTCTTAATTATCCCATACTCAAATATCATATTTTCACCCATAACAAAGAATTATTATTATATAGCTTTATTTGAAGCAGATATGGATATAAATTTAACGCGCATATCGAAGTATAATACAAATACCAGTACGAAACACTGGCGAACCTACATTGTATCAAAGTAGACACTACCGTGCTGTTATTTGACAATTTAACGGAGGGTTTAATGAACGCGTTTATATTTGATTGGATTTATTTGAACAATTTGCGGATTATATGTAATAAAGCTATTCCGGTTGATAGGATTTAAACATTTAGGGATTAAATTGATGAGGTAATATAGAAACTTTTAAAGCATTAAAGATGTAATGTTATTCATATTAAACGATTTATACTTAAAAACGTGCTATTATGGGTTAAACCCCTTTTTTGTAGCGTAATAGCTTTGCACAATAAAATTCAAATTGAAATTATTTATAATTGGAAATTAAAGCAAAGAAAACTTGTAATATTATTGTTTAAATAGCGCACTGATAGTTTTTTAAAAGTTATTTTACTATGATAAATCAAGGGGGAATTAGCACGCGAATAATAAAGTACTTGCCATGTATCATATTTTATATTTATTTATAGAAGTGAAAAGGCGATTTTTTTTCAGCAGTGAATTGTGCAGTAATTGTCGGTGCAAATAAATCTTCGGTTTAATGTTTTCAAGAGTAAAATTTAAGTAAAAGGTAAAAAAAAATGCTAAATAAGACATATGAGCCGAATTCTTTAGATTGTCAGAAGTATCACTCGTATTTAACCATTTCTATAGCATGAGTAAATTTGCTTAATTTAATTTTGCTTCTTATTTCTTAAAAACAGACATACCATAGCAAAGCGATATTTAGGAGCTGATTTGAATCAGATTTAAAGAAAAGCAAACATGCATGTTATTTGTAAACAAAAGGACAAGAGAGCATTTTTTTTCTATTCTTAAAACTTTGTTTACGAAATAGCGTTATCTTTAATTGTAGAATTACACGGACAATGGAGTTATTGATTGCATTATTAAAAAGAACTTGCAATGTCATTTCAACAAAGCATTGTTCCTACCTTTTATCATCGTTAAATTTCTTTTTAGAAATAGAGCTTAAGGACCATGGCAACCTTCTAGTTTCAAGTTTGTTCTTTATGTTAATAACAGCACCTGAATTATTATATTTAATATCTGCGAAATCTTAAACGCTTCTAAATGCATCATCCTATATTCTACAGATCTTTAGTTTTTGTAACTGGATTTCCTTAATTGACATTATACTTTTAGTGTAATGTATTTGTACAAATGTATATTAAATAATAACTTGTGCAGTTTATCACGTATGCTGATAAGCTTTCATATAATTTATTAAACAAATTTATACATTGTAATTCTAATTCAGGACTTAATATTTTACTAATAATGTACTTATTATCATATCTTTAATTGTTTTGATAATAATGTATAAAGATTCAGACAATGTGTCTCTGGAAAGCGGACAACATGGACCAGCGCTTTAAATGCTTTTTAATTTTGTTTATTATAAAGTCACTCTAAATAACTTAGTCATACAATTAATTAGATAACAAATAGTTGACGTTTGATCAAATGGCTTTATAGATTTTATCAGCTTGACTTACAAAGGATTAAATTAATAAATTACATCAATATCTAAAAGCACACCAATATATAAAAGCTTATAATATGTACATATTGTATTTATTTTTGTAAAGAATAGATTTTCTTATGTTCATGTATGAACATTTAAAGTTGAAATATTTGTGCGCGTCTTAAATGAATCAGCTGAAAAAAAATCAACATCAAAATGATATCATCAAATGTTAAATTTACAAAATTGTGAAACATTTATGAACCAGTTTATCTTAATGTTTGAAGCGTAATTGAAGAAATAAGGGGTAAAATACATTACATATTGTTAAACAAAGTTTAGTTAAGCAGGTATTTGGAATTATGATGTGATATGTTATTAAAATTGCTCAACCAAAAATATTTTTATCGAAATATTAAATATAATTACGGATGCATATGTATAATATGAAATAGTCCTTAAGGGCACATTATGCCTCAGAATTTTTTTTAATTAGTTAAGAAAGGGCAAACATGAATTTTATGATATTAAAATATGCTTTAAGAGAATGATATATGTTTGTTACCTGACGGAAGTAGTGGTAAATGTGCAATAATTTGTCATAAAAGTAGCAGAATGTGAACAAAGTAGTTATTTCATAGATTTCCATATAAAATACCAATTCACTATAATTGTATTTATTGCCAAAAAAACAACAGATGTAAAAGATGGTTCAGGTAATTTGACAATGAGTTACTTTTGGATGCTATAGTAAGTACACCAAAAGAAAAAAGCTTTTGAGAAATAAAAGCATTTTTGAGGCATATTGTGCCTTAAGTCCCATTAGGAATTGTGTAATTTTACATTAAAATCATATTTGTATTCAGTTGACAGAGTTCATATAAGCTTAAAGATTAAAACGTTTCAATATGTAAAAGTTTGATTGATTTAGTCGATAACATACATTTAGTCGTAAATCAAGTTTGCCATTAGGTCGTATATCAAAATGCATGCCAGCACTGTCATTGTTCATTTATTAACAAGAATAACACTATATTCATGATTATATTTGAACAGATCAGATTATGTTATTTGATTTCAATAATACTTTATTATTCGTAGCTTATTGTTACAAAGTTAAAAACATAATGAAATGAAACAATTCTCATCGTGCTGGTTAAAGAAGAAAAATTCAATAAACTCATTTACTAGCATGCCATTTTCTTCACAAAAGAAAAATGCTGCATTGGATTTGATTGATTGAAATAACAACAGGAAGTGCTCATGTTTCATTGCGAGAAACAGAAAATAAACACTTGTGATTAAGCATTCCATTGTTGAAAAAAGAAAATATATATGAATATAATCTTAGTATTTTATAAGTGGTTTGCATTCTCAAGTATATCGTACACACTGGACTAATGTTTAAAGCGACCTTCAGCTTTTCTAAAGATAAAATATGTTATATTTAGAGAAATCGTTCCATATCATTGTTGAATCAAAAGAACTAAGGTGGAAAATATATGCGGTCTATAAAATACATAAATAATAAGATACCTCTAATCTACCGGTATAAGTAAAGCCCCGATCTTCTATTTGTAAGCAACGAACGTCACTGGCACATTATAAATAGCTCTTGGACCATGTTTGAAAGAAGGCTTAACAGTGATATGATGCACTTTTCCATTTCCAAGATAAAATTATTTAAACACTAGGTATTAAAGAACACTAAAATGTTATCCAAATAAAAATAAAAGCTGAAGGCCGCTTTAAGTCTCATACAATGAACATCTATCTACTTTTTTTTTCTTTCTTAGTGTTTTCATATACTAGAATGGCGTTTTATGAACAGTATCAATTTAAGTATATCAAAATAAGAACATTATTTTGGCACCCACGCAAATGATGTTACACAAGGCTTTTATAAGTATACTATTAAAACGGACTGCGGCAAATTGTAACCTTGGTTTAAGAATTTTACTTAAACTTTTGATTATAAATTCTTACTATGTTTAGAAATTTGCTTTTATGTGTGATAAGCCTATCAAAATGATATGACCGTCAATTTTATATATATATATATATTATATATATATAAATTCATGTTCTGCACTAGTTAGAATAAAGTGCACCTGTTCTGATAAATCTTTAAATATTTCTACTCTACATATTTTAAACTGAACCCTGACTAGTTAGCCAAAAAAGTATATTCAATTAACAAAAGCTCTACTATTTCTTTTATGATTGTACGTGTTATGTCTGTCATTAAAGTCTTCCATAAATCAAACCATAATATAATTAAAACTAAGATAACATCAGCGGAATGGTAGATTGGTAAAGTTTACTTTATCTTTAAAATAAGATATCTCATAAAAAATACTCTGATCTATTGTTCCAATATTTATCATTCTTCTAGATATTGCTGTACGATTTTCTTGATCTTTAATAGATAATATGCAAAAATATAAAAAGATAGGCATCTTAGAATAATAAAAATTAGTTCGCATAATTAGGAATTATACGCTGTCTTTTGAATATAAAAACAAGCAAACAAACACAAATATGTTTAAGGTATATCATTTTGAAAAGCAATACAAAAAGCTTTGACGTAAGCTAACGGGCATGAGGTCAGTTACGTAAATGGCCATGGCGTTCGTTTGAAATATAGAATAAGAGGCTTTATGCGCGATGTAAAAACCAATTTACCACCACAAAGTATATCACAAGCACTAAGATCATTTGTCAAAATAAATGGCTAATGTTTTTCCATTGAAGAAGCAGATGGTCTCGACCTTAATCTTCACATTGACCCGAAATAATGACAAAGTTTTTTTTTCCATGCAGAATTTATAACTAGTCTTGTTCTTATAGTTACAGATACGGTTGTAGGTTGTATGGACAGTGAAGCAGTCTTTGTAAGCGAATAAGACGTATAAAGACGAATCCGTAACACCACATAGAAGTTAACAAAGATCATTTGTGTGAATACGCCAGCGTCCTTAGCAGCGTGTGCTTGTTTAGCAAGTGTCTGTAGAAGGAAATGAAAAAGAATTAATTGCTTATCTAATTGGATTAAAATGAATGAAGTGAAAACAATTACGGATACATATTTTGATAGTAAATAAGGAGTTATTTTAAAGTTAAAATCGGTTATATAAAAATCCATTTAGCACATACGGAAAAGGGACAGTGGATTTGCCATCGACTGATACAACTTACACCAGATTAGATTGGAGAAAAGCAACAGAAAATAAGGTAAAATGTCTTAGTGGTGTTAAATGTCATGAAGCCGTATTATAAACGTTTACTAAACAATTTCAGAAGTACTCTTTAATTCTATGTTGGAAGCAACGAAATGGAAATTCATAATGAAACCCACACTAACATGATTATTTACTTTAGCTACATCACTCCTCCAAAGACCACTGATTAACTTTGAGCCGTTTAAGCTTTAATATTTAATGGTGCTTTGCTTTGTAAGGAGAACCTCCAATTGATATAGTCAACAATTCGTAAATAAGTTGTCAACTGTCTATTATAACTCTATGTTAGGCTTAATTACATGTAACGACACTTTGTTTACATCATTCTCTAAAATCATTATCTAAATAATTAGAACAATTTGTATATTGCTTGTCGCTATACACCATTAAACACTTGTAATTACCACCTAGACAGCCGGGGAAATAATGAGTCAGCGGTTACGGGTGGTCGAGGTAGTATGACCTTACCTCTGTCATACAAAAATATGTACAAGTGTTAAATTCTTCTCATTTTGCGTGACGGTTATATAATTTACTTCTCCTCTTACAATCTTCTTGCAATACAAAGATATATAAGTATACAAACGTATATAAATAATAGAGATACAATAGGGACCGTCACAGAATATAATCGCCGAAAAAAAACTGTTTGGTATACATTTTGTATGTGTGAGAAGGGTAATTCAATACATAATTGAAACTAAAATTTCACTGATACTTTTCTCCATTACATAATAAGATCATTCATGGGTTTTGAATGACGATATTTAACCATTTGACACAAACCCAGTGTAAAGTTATAAACATAATTAAACCTGTAGTTGTCAAACAGAATTAAAAAGCCCCCAACAATTATTATAATGTCATAAAAAGTTTGATATCACTTTGCAAGTTATGGCCTGATTTAGAATATATGTCGCTGTAGGTAATAAGCCGTGAATAATGGCTGATTTGATAAAATCTTAAAGCAAACTTTCTGAAAATGTGAACGACATCATTTGGGAAAAGAGACAGTGTAAAATACAGTTTTGCATTATAAATGTCTTGGATGCAATGTGGTAGGTTAATTTTTTGCTAACTTTAAAACTTAGTTGCGCTTAGACTATTGTATCCAGAGATTAATCTAAAAGTAGAGCAAGAAAGGGAGAACACATGTATGACAGAAATGTCTTAGTTAATTGATACGAACTGAACAAAATACTTGCTTTTTGTCATGAATAAGACATTAAGACAACTGTATGAAGAATACATTTTTTCTGTTACATTGTTCAAATACCAATTTAAATCACATAAATTGATATTTTTGTCATGAATAAGAAATTCCGCTAATTGGATTCTTTGTAACGTCGTTCAAAATACCGAATCACATAAATTGATAAATACATGTACATGATTGAACTAAGGTGGCACTGTTTCATTTTAATGCTTCCCAAAAGGAGAGCACATAGTCGCCGCCTTGTTTTTTCAATTTAATGCCCTCGCTTAAATATTGAAGTGATGATGAATTTGCCCAATATAAAGAACGTTTCAGTGGACATTTTTATTCTCGAACGCTAAAATACCTGAAGATTTTGATCTCTAAAATATAATAATGAAACAATCGCAGTCAATTGACTTCATTTAACGCATACAAACAGTTGCTACTACTCAATCGTAAAGAAAGTTTGACATCAGTCTGCAGACAGAGATGAGCAAATAAACAGACACGAACATTCATTCCCATATACACTCTAATGGTTCCAAGAACATAGAGCAATGTTTGTGAGAAAAAAAATAAACGTCCAGTGCTGGTTAAAAATACAGGCACATTTTTTTATAAACAAATATTTTTTTTAAAAAATGTACATATATTTAATGGTCCTTTTACCTAATCGAAGAAAAGGACAAAAGAAGAAATATAGTGTATAATATAGTATAGAGTATTGAGACATTTCATGCTCCTATTAGATGTAATATTGTAAGCTAACGATGTTATAAATAAACGAAAATACATATGTGAACAATGAGCACTATTTGTCTTGTATCTATTCCACCAAAAGACATTGAATATAATTATTTGTTATTCATTTTCAGACTGTAAATAATTGATGGGAAAAGGAAGCGGTGTACAAAAAACGACCCAAAGTGTGGTAACATATGAATGTGGCACAGATAATTGTACATGCACAACAGGTAATGATAAAGACAAAAACACGATCAACTCTGCTCCCAAAGATAGTATAATATACATTATTTCTGAACTTTTAAAACAGCGTGCCTCAAAATCCATGCTAATTTTCATGATAATTTTGAAATTGCATTTATGAAATATTGTAAAGTGAAGAAAGAAAGTAATTTACACATTGCATACTGTACTTACAATCCACGAGAAAGAGGTAAATTATGAGAAACTGGGCTAATCATCGGTTGCAAAGTTTAACACATTTTCTTATTTTTTGCATAGTCATGGTACGCAAATTGTGTGGATTAAACATCCGTTTAATTGTATATATTTTGACAGCTGATTAAAAAAGATTAAATCTTAAATTATATGACATTCTCACATATCAGTATCAGATGAACATTATACATCATGTAGTTACAAAGTTAAAATCTTAAATTCTTAAAAAAGTCAAACTATTTCAACCTCTTAAATAGCCTAATTAAACGTATATTTGTAGAGAATTAGTTAAGTTTCATAGCTTAATACGTTTCATTTTTTTCCAGACACTACATGTGCAATATATATGTCGTCAAATGAATCACTAACACAGATCACAGGCCGTGCTGTTCCTGAAAAAGAGAAAATGCGAGAATATCGGCGTCCCACTCTCTGTGTTATTGATGAAAACGGTTTAGAAATCGGAAAAGATGATGCAATTACAGAGTTGTCCGGAAGTGACGTAGATAATCACGGAAATAGAATTAAACTGTCTCTAAATGAAATTTCTTCCCGGGATTGTAATGCAAATTTAACGACTGTTGAAAGTAATGGTTTTTTGTATCCATCAGTTGAAAAAGATTTGGACTTAAATGAACTTAAAGCAACGACAGCTAGATTAAAACTTTCTACTCGAAGACAAAGCACGGTTGCTTGGCAGCAAAAACATTTCAATGAATCAAATGACCCTGTAAAACCAAATTTTGATATAGATACATTAAATGGGAATAAAGATGATTCATTTACCGATGAAAGGAAAAAGAGAATAAATGAAGCTTTAGCTTGGATACGAAATGAACTGGTAAGTGTACAAATTTCCTACTTATGAAGTTGATAAATTGTTTTTATGTAACATATTTACGTTTCAAATACTTGAAATATAATTAGTAAAGTTATTTTGCAAAGAAAGCATTCGAAAAAGTTTTAAATCTGTTACTTCAAAACCTAAGTTTCATTACATTTAATGTTTTGTCTTTTTTATCGTTTCTATAGCAACAGATGAGGAATGAAGACGAGGCTTTGGCGCGTAAATTACTTTCAATACGTCATGATATACACAAACTAAAGTTACAAAGAAGTTGCGAGGAACATCAAGACATGCTTGATGACGTCACGATGGATATGGAAGAAAATAACGAACTGCACGGGATTTCTGACTTCCCTATTACTGACTCGATGCATGATACTCCGTTAAAACATTTAGGTGTTACAAAAATGCATCTAAGCGCGAGGCGATTTTCTACGTGTTGAATGCTTTTGTAAAGAAAAGAAGGGATAAATACGTCTATGAAACCATCTGGTCTATTGAATTGTAAATTCTGGGTCCAACTACTGTGCATGTTAGCACTATGTCGTTGAACAATAACCCAACACAACCATACCGTATGAACTACACCGGCCAGTTAGAAATATAACGAACGAACGTTTTTCATATGCGTTATAAGTTATTTCACGGCGACTGGGAGTGAAATTTCAAAGTAACTTTCGGAGACTGTGCAATCTTCATAAATCACACGTTTTCCTCATTTTGTTTCCCATCATTATCTTGTCATAATGGTTGATGTGATACTATTATATTGTCAGTATAGGATGATATAAATCAAATCGGTGTACTGTGATACTATTATATTGTCAGAAATGAAAACGGTGTTGTGTGAGAAAAAAATCAACTGTGAGTATTGCAAATGAAGAGACTAATCCATACAAATATGTATCACATGATTATGAGTTGGTTATCTTCTTCTGTCTTGCCGCCAACAATGATAATATTATGTCTAAAAATAAAGCAGCATGCACTCTTCTGTGTCGTCATCAATGCCTATCACATCAACATAATGTATGAATAAACATATAATAAATAAAAACAAATGCTGAATAGAAGTAAAATACCTTTATTTTACACCAAGTATTGAATTTAACCAACTATCAGATGTTCAAACAGAAATGATTATCGGATCCAATCTTATCAATTTTGTTTCGTTGCCTGAGCCCAAATAAATCCACATCAAATGCAGATCATGCCCTAGATAGTCTCCTTGTTATTTTCAAAGTCCAAAATATCTAAATCAAATGCATATTGTCATCCATCTACACTTATTTCCATTTTCATGGTCAATTTTAATCAATTCCTAGTTGTACTCTAAGTCAAAATGTAATAAATACGAACTAAAAAGGTCATTATACATTGTTGAGGTACAATACTGATTCTATTGGACTCGTACACAGCTGCAAAACATAGACCAGGCTCCGCTAGCGCCTCGTCCAATATAGGTCGGTCGACAGCTGTGTTATCGTCCCTTATATAATTCAGTATTGTACTCAACAATGTATAAAAACCTCATGGTACCACCTTGCCAATGGTAAATATTTTAACTTGAAAAATTGACTACTCTTTAATGAATACAGGACATTGTTTTATAATGCACAAACGTAAATCATGAGGCAATCGGAAAAAAGAACAAGAACAACAAAACACGAGGTAAATCAATCAAATGGTAAGGAAAATGCAAAATTATTTAATTATTTTAATTAGGCGCTATCATTTACACAGTATGTCTTAGATAATATCAACTGTTATGCAAAAATGCAATTTAAACATGCGACAGAATAGTTACGTTTAAAAACACACATAGAGTCACAATATCCATACTGTTTCAAGTTACACGATGTCTGTCCAGAATTACTAATGAAGGAAAACATAAAGTGCCATCCAGGCGTTATTTCAGACAAAAGCATTCTGAGTAACAAAAGTTGCTGAGTACACTCTCCCAACTACGGTCAAATACCTGGATAGCTTGTACATGTGAAAGACGTGCCTACAAAGTTTAGTGAAGTTTTATTTGACGAATCTGATCGTAGAAAAATGTATCAATATAACTACCATTTGATCTTCCAATTATCTTCCACTTCCAATGATTTAGAAAGATTACTTAGAACAGGTTGCATCGCAATAACATATCAATAAATAAACGTCTGTCGTTTTCAATGTTCATAAATCATCAACAAAACAGTATGTAATTAAAGCTTGGAAAGATCTTTTCTGTTTAATAAAATCAATACATAGAGGATATTCAAGTTTTTTCTATAAATACATGATTTATTTTCATCGAGTGGTATGAAAATAAATATTTCATGAGTGGCGGTAGCCACGAGTGAAATATGGTAATTTTCATGCCACAAGATGAAAATAAATCATGTATTTATAGAAAAAACTTGAATTTTCTGTTTATTATATACATTTTTATCTTTTTTGACATTAAAATTTGAAAGACTTTCCCTTAAATTTTGTGTACTGGCAAAATTTAAAAGAAAGTAGTCCGGCAAGACACCAGTGAAAATACGGAAAATATGTTTCACTGCAGTGAAAAATAAATTTTTACAGTGAAAATACGGAAAATGAACATACGCACTTTATTTCATCAATATTTCTCAATATTTCATTTATAAGTATATAATAAAAATCATTATCACATAAACCGCGGTGCAGGAGTGTAATAAAGCCATTTAATAAAAATGATATTACACTAGACAATATGACACTAGTGTAAAAACACTTTGACGTCACGTCATTTGCGCTATAAGCATAGCGTTAAAGCGCGCTAATGATAGCGTTACACTATAAGCGCGTCAAAGAAAAACGACTTTTAATAACAGTTTACCGTTCTTATTTTATATATGTGATAAATAGAATATTATATTCGTGTAGATTCAATACTACATTTATTGAACTCGTTGAATAAAACAATATTATGCTCGCCAGAGGCTCGCATAATATGATTTTATTCAACTCGTTCAATAAATTTAGTATTAAACCTACACTCATTCAATATCCTCTATATATTTAATCTATATTTTTCCTCTCTTAACCAATGTATTGTCATATATTTCCCACCACATCACATCACTATATTTTCGGTACTATTTTAAGTAAGCTGGGGACCAGGCTAGGAGGTGGCCTAATGGTTAAGGAGATTATTTGGTTCCGACGGTATGTCCTCGTATGTCATCATTACCGGAGTGCTCCAGAGTGATTTAAATAAGTTGCATGATCTTGTTTAATAATTGAGCATGGATGGAAATTCTGAAAATATTTTGTTCGGATTGTATTAGAAAGGTGATACATATTTATAATTGCAATCAAATAATTTACTTGGGTATACTAATCCATAAGTCAATATTTCTGCAAAAAAATGAATTGCATTGTGAACCAATGCTGCAAGCAGCATTCGAAAAAACAAAAATGGTCACACCCTTTCTTATCCAAGATAGGAATGTATGTGTGCAATTGCTTTTAACGCTACACGAAACCGTCAGGCAAGCTCAATAGACAGAGCGTTTGACTATGAATTCGATTCCCGAACGGACGATAAATCCTTTCTATGACATGTGCATATTTTATCAGTTCCTTGCGTAAGTGAAGACACTAGTACTGACAGCATGCACATGAACGATGCGGTGACTGAACAATGCTCGGGTAAAATCAAAGTGGATTACTGCCGTGATCTACAAGACCTTCACCAACGGTATACGAGTAAATCATGACATGTGACAATAAGAAACACCAACGGACAACCACAAAATATTTGAATGCATCATAATGTGCTTAACACAATACTAATTGTACTTATTATTCACAAAATATTGGATGATAATTTTTAGCAAAATGAAAGTTCAACACTTGCCCCAGCCGCTTTGGATTGAAACGATAGGCTATACTCACAGAGCTATATTTAAAATCTCTGGTATACTGGAAGAAAAATTGGTCTTTTGTGCTTTAACCATAAGAAAACAAACAGTTTGTTTTTTATTTCAAATTGAGTACTCTATATAAATCATTTCTGTTTACAAGTTAACCAGTTATTTCTAAATAGAACAATTGATACGTTATCTGCGTTTCATCAATGTATTCTATTTTTTTTATTGAAAAGTGACAAATGAAAAGTTGTTTTCGTAAATCGTACTTAAAAATATATATTTTCCTTTGTGTTATGTTAAAATATTTTGAATGCCTTTCAATATTTTGTACTTGAGTATTTATCTTATATTTTTGAAGTTTCTTTGAAGTATGTGCAAAATATCTTTCTTTGATCAACTTGTGACATATAGCTCTTTGGGCCCGTTGTTTTGTTTTCATATTGTATGAGCATGTCACAAATGATTAATAAAATCATAACCGTAAATTTTATCCGCAACGAAATCAGAAGAAAGCATAGGGAAGTATAGGAACAGAACAGAACTGAGCAGAACAGAACAGAACTGAAATTATATTTACACTATACATATCAAATGTAATTAATATCTAAGCACATGATATAAAAGCATAACTAAAATTAATTAAGTCGATTTGAAATAGCTGATTTTATAGCAGATAAACCAAAGTAAATGTTACGATTCATTTGAAATATTCAATGTTATTGGACAAAAATAATTTCAAACACTAAATGACTATACTAATAATTAAACAAGGCACAGCAAAGTAAAATATGTAAACAAAAATTCGATGAAAGCAAAAACAGCAAGTCACACATAAAAGGACAAATGTTTGACTGCCGCTAATCAGCCGTAAATAATGGTCGATTTAATAGCATAATAAACAATTTTATCATCTTAAAGATAAACATGTTATTTGCGAATTTTGAAAGAGTTGACATGTTAGATTGACTGCTGTAAGTGTTGCCGTGACATGAAAATGGAAAGTTTTTTCTCTCTCTCTCTCTATCTTAACATAATTGCTGCCCTCTATTTCAAACAGAAAACGGATAGATTTTCTCCAAAGGATAAAACTACTATTAATTTCATTGAACAATAAATTAACTGGTACATAACAGAAGGTATGCAATACCAAAGATAATTATGTTAATTGTTTTAATAGCACGCGTGACTCAAGCAACGGAATAATTATATAAGGATGCTGTTAGCATATTAATAAATTGTCCTAGAACAAAATAGTACCATCAATCATATAGATAAATGGAAGAACTAATTCACTTAGATATAGATTAACATTTTTTTTTCAAGAAATACTTTTAAAAATATTCATTTAATACATTTAATAAAGTAAACCAAAACGTTATATAATTATTAACATTATTGTCGTGGGAAAAAGAAACGTTGTCATAAGAATAAATTCAATATGTAGGTATAAGTATCAAGAACAAAAGCAGCATGCACGAATGTGATACAAATGAGCCGCGTCACGACAAAACCAACATAATGGGTTTGTGACGAGCATGACCCCAGACCAGCCTGCGCATCCGCGCAGTCTGATCAGGATCCATGATGTTCGCTATCAGTTTCTCTACTTGTTATAGGGTTTGTAAGCGAACAGCATGGATCCTGATCAGACTGCGCGGATGCGCAGGCTGGTCTGGATCCATGCTGGTCGCAAACGCATTATTTTGGTTTTGTCGTGACGCGGCTCAAATCAGGAATTGTGAAATAAAAACAAGACATCTGTGCAATATGATAATGACCGTAACGAGCAACGCGGTAAGTAAACGGAAGTCAGTTTACTTACCATGTTACTATTGTCGGAAATATGTTGTACAGATTCGGCTTTACTATTTAACAATTTCTGTATTATTTTTACAATTTATGCGTTACGTATATACACAGTGAATAGATAAACATAATTCTTGCAATTCATATTAAGGTATCAGTACTTGCATATTATAAGACATAACATGGTGCGATAAACAAAAACCTAAACATACGGCATAACGAAAGTCTAAATAAAAAGGAGCTCCCAGGGGGACACCGTCCGATTTCTAAGAATAAATGGATAAGAGAATGACAACTATC